TTTTTAGGTTGCTCTTGAGGCTCGTTTCCCTACCCCAGTCAAGGGCTAAGTATTCACTTTTTTCTACTCCTACCTTTCTCTCTTGCCCTCTTAGCGCTGCTCTTTCTGTGTTTCTTTCTTTTGTTTCAAAGGCTTTTTAGGTACCTATTCAGGTCGTTCGCACGAGCGCCGCAAAGCGGCACCGTGTGTATGTCAAACCCTGTCCCTAAGGGCTTTCCGTGTTTTCAAAGCAGGGGCGTACTGCTCGTCATACCCACCGTACGCACTGAAGCTACGGTATGACGAGGGAGGGGTGGACTGATCATCCACCTGTACCTGCTTCAACGGTTGAGTACGCTACGCTGTTCCAATCCTTCTTTTTTGATTCCATAGTGGTTCATGATACGTCCCCCAAACCCTTTTTTCCCACCGCCGCTTTGCAGCCGCGCTTATGTGTCAGATTGCAAACATTGTTCAACCATACAGTTCTCGCCAACCTTTTCGCCTTGCCGTTCCCTCACCATTTTCGACCTGGGAATTGAGCTAACTGAAAACCAATGTCAGCAAAGTGTGGATATACTTCATGATTTGGTGTGTATATTGTGAATGTGTGGTGCTCTATGCGCACATCAAACATTATGCATGTCGAGTTTTTTTTCCTTTGACATCCGGATGGAAACATCACCCCACTCAGACTACCGAGCGTGAAACGAGGAAAACAGTCTGAGAAGCTCTTTCGTGAGATCTTCAAGTCCTCAGAGGCGCCACCGGCTGACCGGATCCTAGGTGACCCGGGGGACACATGGTGACCGGGGGACAAGGGTTTCGGGTAGCATTGGAGGGCATTGCTACTAGGTTCGAGGCCATCGCTTCTAGGTTGAAAATGAACCTTCTAGGCTTCTAGGTGTGACTTGAATGTGCCCACATGATGAGTTGCTTCAATTGGGAAGCCGCACAAGTGTTGAATGATTTTGAGGTTGGGACTCTGGAATGGTACTGGTAGGTAGGATATTCTGCAGGGGTTCCTAGTTCGAAGTAGAAGATTCTTCTGGAGGATGGGAGGGCTGGTGGGTGATGCAGTTTTCGGCGCCGTTGAGACATGTTTGGCAGTGTAAGGTAATATAAGGACAAGTTTGGTTTCCGTCCCGCAAAAGGGAACAACCTGTTTTTTGAATTCACAGGTTTATATATAGAACATAGATGATCATAGTAAATATAGTACATAAGTAATACCACACAAGGTCCTTCTGAAGAGCCGTTTCATTGGCTGAGCCATGGAACAGCCCCAGTTGCTAACTCGTTTGGAGCCAGAGCTGCTTCGCGGAGTGTCCCTGCACGAGTGCCTCAGTGGATTTGGAAGACACTGGCGCAAGCCCGATCCTGGCATGTCCAACATCAATCCCCACGACTATGACCTGAGCCATCCCATGGAATACTTTGACGACTTCCTGAGTCACGACTGGGGAACCTCTCGATTCTTGAAGCTTGCATCGATGCTGATCATTTACAACTCAAGAGCAGCACTCCTTGCAATGTTGATGGCCGCCATCATGCTGGCTGCAATCCAGTCGTCTTATCGCCGGGAATGCATATCAACCGTATTCCCTATGGATCAGAGGCTCATTGCTGTTGGAATTTGCCATGGCATTCACATTTTTGTCTTGTGCTTCTGGCAAAGGCTTCGCAGCCTGCTCCTCACACCACGATTTGTTTTTTTGGACAAACTTTGCATTGCCCAAAGCCCAGAACTTGCGGATTTGAAGACAAAAGGAATTCTGGGACTTGCAGCCTTCCTAAACCATTCCAGGCGGCTTGTTGCACCTTGGTTAATCGGTATGCCCTTGAGTTTCGATACGCTCGTTTGTTTTTGCTATGTCTATCTTCTTATGTCGGTGTTCATTCCGTTATCTAGCAAGGTACTGTGGTCTCCGCGATACTTTCAGAGGCTTTGGTGCTCCTACGAAATAGCAACTTTCTTGGCAGATGGCAAGCAGCAAAAGCCCTTGGTGGTCATGCCAGCACATGCAGGCCTGATCTTGGTGCTGTCTTATGCCACCTGGAGTGCTGTCACAACTGCCTTATGGTGCGTACTGCATGCATGGCATTCGGACCAGTGGGGTATGAAGTCAGAGTTGAACGACGCTTACATCCAGGTGCTCATTGGTATCGGTGCAGCATGTCTATTGGTGGCATTTGTTGGGATTCCCTTGATTTCCTGGGTCATTGCCTTAGCTCGAACTGTACAAGAGACGCTCCAAGAGCAACTGCATACCTTCCGGATCCAAGAGACGCTTTGCTTTTGTTGTTCAAATCAACATCGACATCCCGACACGGGCGCGGTGATTCCGTGCGACCGGGAACTTGTGTATCTGAAGCTTAAGGAATGGTATGGCCACCCCAACGACATGGGTGAAGAGTCCTTGACACGGTTCAATTTGCTGGTCCAGACGCGCTTAGCGAGCTCGATTCTCTCGAGCATGTCAAACTTGATACCCCGCCGCTACCAGTTTTACATGATCGCAGCAACCAACATGCCTTGGCTTTGTGAGACTTTGGTGAACATTCTGAGTGGCTGTGGGGCCAATGATACGCGACTGATTCTGCAGTGGCTTCTGGAATGGATCACGATCAGCATGGTGATGCTCTTGGGCAGCTTCTGGGCCACCTTCATTGCACTGCATCTCGGTGTTCCACTGGCTCGATACATGCCACGACTGTTCGCTGCGGCCCTGGTGTTCCCGGTGTCCGCTATTCCGGTTGCCATCTTCCTGGGAAGCTTCTATTACCTGACAGTCGCGGATCCAACAGGCTTTCTGTTTACCGTGCCATCTAGGCTCCTGCTCATTGTGATCATGTGCTACAGCTGTCACAGCCTTTGCCAATCACAAGTCGAAGACGCTTCCAGCAAGGCTGAGATTGAAATAGAAGCTACAAGCAGTGGCGGCAATGCGGCTGTGGGATCTCCTCCTAGTCCATCTTCGTCTTGTTGGTCTACGTGATGTTCAATGGTTTTCGTCGATCCTTTCATCCTATGTGTTTCAAGCGATTTTCGGTCTGCGGCTTGAGCCTAGCAATGTCTAGCAGCCAGAGTCAGCTTCCCCAATTCATCAAAGGTGCTCGCCGTCTCGTAGGGTTAGCGCTTGATGAAGGTTCTGTTAAGAGGCAAAGGTGGTCAAAGTCAAATGGAGATTTCTTTTGGTGGAATTGTGGCTTGCTCAAACTTCATGATGTCGCTTGCGTTCGTTGGAGTTTTGTGTGCTGACACTTTGGCTGCAATTTGTTGTTTCGTGTCATACGCAGTTTGAAGAGTTCGACTTGCTACTCTTCCCTTTTCCTCAGCCATGTCATAGTCATAGTCCTTTCCGCGTAATTAAGAATGTCATTTTCACACCGCTACAGTACATACCACGCGTTTGCCCACGTCGCAGCGTGTACATGGCCATCCAGGCTGGGTGCCTTCAGGTGCTGTTGAGGATTCTGGAGGAGCGCTATAGCAGCAGCTCGTGTGTCACTGCTGTGGAGCTCCTCAGCACGATGGACTCTTGGAGCATTGAAATGCTCATCTTTGGATCGACCATTGGCTGTGAGGGTCTGGTCTGGTGGCTTTTCACGTGGTCTTAGCATGGCTTTGCCGAGTTCCCTGTCGTGGAACTTGATTAGGCCAAGAAGTCATCGGAACAGTCCTGGCACCATGTGGTTTTGGGGGGTCTTTTCATTTTAAAACCCGACTCGAGGTCGGGAAGGTTTGTTCAACTGCTGGCATGGATCAGGGGGTCACGAACTGAGCAGCTTGAGATCTTCACTGTTTCGTCACGTTTCGTCGTCTCCGTTTGACGAAACACCTGGAGGGGGTGAGTGAGTGAGTGAGTGGTTCGACTCACAGCAGTAGCTGTGGTCAGTAGCACAACCTCCACTACCATTGCCACCGGTCGACCTCCAAATTCGGCCTTTGACCGAAGACGCGTTCGTCCCGTGGATCGAAATTCTGAGGCCTCTCGAAGTGAAGTGACCGAGAGGTTCGGGGTTTAAAATCAGTGATGGAAGACATGTCCAACATGTGTGTTTTCGTTTTTTTTTGTTTAACTCTATGTTTTTGTCCTTTCATGTCCTTTCCAGGTGTGGGTGTGTCCCCTTTGTTTGCTTTCTTTGGCCGACATGGGTTAGATCGATCGGGCAAGTCCTGGTTCGGCCAGTTTGGTGAAGCTGTTGGATTGGAAAGCCACTCGGCATGGGACGGGCCCCACAGCTGGATAGGGGCCCCCCACATGGGTAAGGGGAGAGAGGCAGGAAGGAACATGGAGTAGGGAGGGAAGAGGAGAAAGTGTGGATGTGGGGTTAGGGTTGCAGTTGGGGTGAAGGTGTTGTAGTTGTTGTGATTAGTGGGGTTAGTTAGCTTTCTTTTTTTTCCGAGTGGGGTGGAGAGAGGTATGGTGGGAGTGGTTGTGGAGATGATTGGTAAGAGGAGTAGTCGCCTTGGTATCCATGAGTCCTGCGACGCAGAGATGTCACCTTGGTTGCAAGCAGTACTGAGCGGGTTCAGATAGGCTGACCTGCTGAGCCGGTTTCATTAGACGCATGTGGCCTACCAGGTACACATAGGTAATAGGTACACTATCTTTGGAAGGGATGAACCAGCAACTGTCAGGTATAGCTGTTTGGGAAGATTCTGCAGAAATGGCGCAGCTAGGCATGGTAAGCTCGTTGAAAGGCAAGTTGAGCTCATGGACCGCAAACGCAGACGTGTTACATGTAGGACTGCCAATCATGCGTGGTAACCCGGGCGGCATAGCTCGCACCACTAACATCCACCAACCCCTGCTTAATCCGCTATACGCACACTCATGCAACACATGTGCAAACCACCAGAAGGCCACAATACACTGTCAAGCACAGCGCCTCGGTGGGGACCAACAAGCAGATTCCCTGAGGGCACGGACAGGGGGTATTTGACCGGATTTGGATTCACAACAGCCCACTCGGGACATGAAGGATTCCGAGGGTGCGATGAAGGCCGGAGCGACCGCAGACTGCGGCCCTTCCGCCGAGCTCAGGAGACCCGCGGTGCCGCCGTGAAGGGGTGTTTTCGGCTGCAGTCCGGTGAAGAAACACTCGGTATGATCGGCTGAGGGATGTGGTGAAACCATCCTGGTCAGAGGGTTCCGGTTCGGTTCATAGATGCTCATACAATTCAGAGGTCGGTCGAATCCTGTTCAACTGGGCCGGATGTGACTCGAACTCCAAGGTATCTTTTTTTGTCCACTCACACCAAAGGGGTTTGATGGGGTTTGTTGAAAGACTCTTTCTGGGAAGTCTTAAAGCAGGCAGAGGAGGCGGGCTGAAGAATCAGGCTCGATTGAATTGACAAACATCAATCGTTTTTCTCCAGGGTTGTTTGCGTTTGACAGAGAGTCGCAAACTTGTAGGCAACGGCAAGGCCATGCTATGCAATCCAATCCATCCCTACTGGTTACTTCCTAGTACTTGCTGGAATGTACGGTCAACTGATACCCATCCAGAGGCTTTGTAAACGCTCTTCAATCTCCATGGATAGCAGGGAGACTCCACCAGTTTCGTAAGGTGACCGGCTTCATTAGGCCATCCTACAATGTTTCAACATGTCTTGTGAAACGCTCGGTTCTGGTGCCCCGAACCATCCAGCCATATCCAGCCTCAGCGCGAAAACCCTCAACCGTATCCGTATCCAGCTTGGAATTGGGCCAGCACTCAAGGTTGAGGAAGTATGCTGTGGATGATCCTGCCATCAAAGATCCTTTGCTTCGATGCCTGGATGATCCGGACCATCTCGCAGCTGGGTCGCATTGGTTTTGTTTTTTTCGCGTCGCCAGTCGTTGCAGCCAGTCGTGGCCTTTTTTGTGGATGAAACAGGTTGGCCAGGTGAACCCAAAAGAAGGCGAGTGTCCCATGCGCCAAAGGGGAAGACTGCGAAGACTCAAAAAGATGCAGCAGCTGTTTCAAGATGATGTCCTTTCTGGAGTTCCTTAGTCAACGCGCAGCAATGCACTTTACATGTTTCTTTGATTTTATTTGCAGGCATTTTGCATCCACTTGTGGTTTTTGGTCAGCCAGAATCGTTGCAAGTCGAACATCCCAAACCATGGATCACGTGTTTGGAATCAATCCTGGCCCGTGCTATGCGTCCCGAGATACGACTCGACGTGTTGAAGATCCTGATGGACCGCTCCGACATCATCGCAAATGAGGAAGACCCGATCCGGCTCCGATCAAGTTTTTGCCCCCAAACTTCCCCGGACACCGCAATGGATCCACGGGTGTGCACCAAATCTGTGATTCATTAAGGCAACCAATTATCCCGACAAGAGACCCGCCACCCGCATTTCAGGTCTAAGGTCCAGAGGTGTAGAAGCAGAAGGTCTAGAAGGTCTAGAAATCTAGGCTCACTGGGCTCTAGAGAGAGGTGATGGTGGTGATGATGGTGATGATGTTGTTGGTGGTGATGGTGGTGGAGATGGTGGTGGTGTTGGTGATGGTGGTGATGGTGGTGGTGATGGTGGACGAAGTACTCCGCCTGCCACGATATCTGCACATCAAGATTCACATCGCGCAGCCCTGCCAAGGCATTTCGCAGCAACAGCACTTCCTAACACAACATCAAGATGCCAAAACGCGGCTCTCGCTTGAGACTTCCTCCGATTTCTGAAAACGAGCCACGTGTCCAAAAGCCACGATATGACTCACTCACAAAAATAGAGCACCCCAAAGACCATGCACCACCATGTCCAAAGTACTGCGCCTGCCACGAAATCTGCACCGGTCACGAAAAGTCGACTTTAGACCACCATAACACGAAAAGTGATCACGAAAAGTCGACTTTGGAACACCAAAACGCGAGGTTTCCCGTGCGCCTGCCACGAAAAGTGATCACAAAGTCCGAAAATGTGCACGGCACCACAACGAGAGCGCAGTCTCGAGCAGCACCCGCGCCAGCCCCCCAGATTCTGCGAGCCGAAGTGCACTTCGAAGATCTTGAGGTGAATGAATGTACCGTAGCAGCGAATTAGCCACAAACGCCGATGATCACCTCCGATCAGACACCGGTCCTTAACCCTTACCGCTCACTGTAAGAGCCCCTGGTGACACTATTCCAACTATTCCCGCGGACCAAATCCTTGACCTGGCCTTGGTTGGTCTTTATCCCTTGCAATTCGTGTCGCTGTGTCGCGTCTTTCACCTTTTCTGACCTTTCTAGAACCTGATTCATCCACCCAGGCAACTGCTTGAGGTTGGAGGTCCATATTTCAATAGGGCACGTTTCACCGTTTGCTTTGACATCTCAAAAATCAATATCTCTTTGCACAACGGTTTGTGTTGGCCTTTAGCTCCACCAGCTAGGCCAGGTTGTGCGAAAGAACTACGTAAGGGTATCCAAGCTCTCCCCCAAAAGTTCCAACCATTGACCGGCAACCTTTTCACCAGTTTTCAATGTATTTCTTTGCCAGGATGCGTTCTCCAGTCTTTTTCTTCGAGCTCTGGAAGATCCATCAAGCAGTGTGGTCCAATTCACCTTGAAACGAGCCAGTCGCTGCGATCCATCCAGGCGTTGGTGGCCTCAAACAAAGAGTGGTCAGACACCATCGCAGGATCTTTTTTTTTTTTTTTCGGAGGAACCCCTGATGATCCCTGATGTTTTCTGACTCCCGATGAACAAAGTCTCGACTGCCAACTGTGGGTTTGAAGGGGTCAGTGCTTTCAACACTGTATGGTCTAAAGAGGCAAAGGTCCGGGGTCGGCCGGCGCCAGAAAGGGATTCACTCAATATACAATATACAAGGACTTGCACTTCTGGCACCCGCTTCCCAAAGAGGGATTTGCACCCTCCAAGGCTTAGGTTTAGGAATAGACATGAATAGACGCACCTCCAACCGACTAGGCTCTCGCGCGACCTGGTGGCGAAGGCTGTGCGCTTCCTGGACGACGCCGATGCGCAGCTCGGCCAAAGCAAGGTGTTCTTTGAAGCGGTTTTTGAAAAGGAACAAAGCAGGTTGTGTTCATAGTACAGGGGTAACAGTGGATGGGAGTGCCTTTGGAGCCTAGCTCTAGGTCTATTATACAGGTCGGTCTATTCTTTGTTCTGTTTGAAGTTCTGATTGAACTTGTTGGAGAGCGGGATTTGTTCAAGAGATTCCCAGCTAGCAGCCTAGCAGATGCTGATTTAGAGTAGTTGGATGATGTTGTATGAACATTAGATCATTATTTGCATGTGCTCCATGCTTTCACATGTCCGCTACCGTCCTGGTGCGGAATCCGCCGGTGCGGTGTGCTGCTTCAACGCCTGCGGGCGAGGCGGAGCCGTTTGGAGGCCACGAAGCTGTTGGGAAAGGTGAAAAGCGAGGTCTTTTGGCGAGGATGGCACGAGATGAGGATGGCATTTGGGATCGGGTGAAAGTTGGATTTGCTGAACGGTGTGAAGTGGCTGAAGTCCACTCAGAGGCTTGTTGAGTGAGCTGTTCAACTAACTATGTTTTTCTCATGTCAGGAAGTTGTTTTCGGATTTCCCAGCTTTTTTAGTGCTCCCATCAGATGTAGCACCAAATCCCCTTATATGATCTTATATCCCTTGAAAAGCCGCATTTTAGCTTTGGGACCTTTTGGGACTTGCAAGTGGTCAGGTGGAAGACCCCGGTACGGCAAGGAAGTGGTCGATGTAGGGATGGACGGGCACGGCTGGGCCGATCTGATCAGCCGGTTGATCCTTTGAGAAACTTTTGCTCAGGCACCAAGACAATCGTTTGAGGTTGTTGGGTGCGATGGATGGGTGAAAGGAGGAGGAACTTGGATTTCCATGCTACTGGGAGTACCTCCAAGTTGCTTGGAGAAGCCTGCACATATATATATATATATATAAACGTTATTGATGGAGTCGCCACCCACGTCGCCTCGTCGTGGGGCGAACGCCAGAGGTTGCAGACCTGGCCCTCAAGTCATTGAAGGTGACAAGACCTTGGCCAGAGAGAGATGCAGCTGTGCCTTGGATGCA